GGGCATAAGAACAACCAAATCTTGATTAAAATGGGGGCAAAGACTGTGTTTTTATTAGCGAGGAAAAATTACCAACTGAAGCTGACAGATTCATAATGCATGTCTCTAGATAACTGAGTAGACACCATGATCAATACAAAAAAATTGTATAACCACATCAAAATGCCAATAAAAATAAACAAATGACGAAAGAGGACAAGATTATGGTTCCAAGCCACAGCCAGTTGCTGTCCAGGTCTAAAACCGGGCTCATTGGTGACAAGCTCCCATAATCTGGATGGGCTTTCTCTGTTAGGTTGCAGGCAGTTTTTCGTCTCGCATCATGTTGGCCTCGATTTGCAGGCAAATTTCAAGGAGGCCTTGAAATGGGGAGAATGAGTTAATTGCATAAAGACCATCCGAGATGTTTGAAAAATTACAAATTTCACCCTTCACGTTTGATTCTACAATCCAAGTTAAACATTGTATACAAACACAAGAGGGGTACTTGAGACTTGACGCATTTTACGCCATCCATTCAATAGGGTAAGTGTAATGCAGAGTCCTAAGTCTGCCAGCCATATATTAAGATAATGTTTCAAAAGAAGCTACGAACATAAATGGGATTCGGCTAAATATTGAAGGGCAAAGACAAAAAGAAGGACGACATCATTCGACCAGCCAACACAGTCAAATCCAACAATATTTCTCAACTTTTGATTCTCAGAGGTGGTTATTCTTGCCAAACAATTGAGATCAAATGAGACTCGAATAAGTCACACGACTCAAGGAACTCTGGCTAATGTGAGGTATACCTTGTGAGAAGCTAAGAACATAATCTTGAAGATTAATAATAACAATATCACGCCTCAAGAAAAGCTTACACAACTAGTTCGATCATTGCAACAGCACAAACAGGAATTAAGATAAGTTGCTGTGCAAGATGGCGATCTTCGAGAAAGGAGCAAGTTGTGGTAAAGTAGACAAAGGATAGAGAATGGTGTTCGACCAAATACACAACCGCAAGTGAGCATAGTTAAAATACCATACCCATGTTACAAATCTATGAAGAAAATATTGCACAACATAGGAAAGCACTACTTATATCAGTAATAACTTTCGTTCCATGCTTGATTAAAACTTACAGAGACAATCAGCCGAAAAATCAACATCATAGTCACAAGACATAAATAAGGATTCTCCAGTCTTTCGCATTCAGAATAATTATAGTGGGATCCGTTACAACTACAAACCTTCTTACACATATTATTAATCATTTTACTTACAGCACATGACATCACCATGGGATGAGAAGCCTGAAAAAAACCATCAGGCCTTAATGGACGAAAATCGATCACCGCCTTTCAAATTATCCTCAGAAACATCCATGGGCAATCGAGACCACCCAATCACACCATTATTCCTTCTCCTCTGTATAACCACAGATGCACATAGCAACAAGACTATAGCCGCAAACATAGGCAGCAAAATTGGCGTTTGCCCCTTCTTCCAACTCCTCCACACAGATTCCGAACAAACCATGCCATCAAAACTACCCATGGAATTATTCAGCTTCCATATCTCAATCCCATTGAGAATACCATCAACTGCTCGTGGCAAACTCATGTTCGAAGGGCCCACGCTCACGACCAGATCCCCAGAATTTTCAGCACCGACCACAAAATCAGCATAAAATGGTGAAGCCAGCAGCCAATTTGTGGCATCCGACAAATCAAGATTTCCATACGCTATGTTTCCATTTATATAAACATTGAAGTAAAGCATGCCAGTTGAAATGCTCGCAATATCACAAAAATGCATGCGAACCATGTACTTGTAGCCTTTTTCTACACTGAACGACCACGTCATATTCACATTGGGGATAGAATTATCGGAGCTCTTTATTACTCTTGCGGTGTTGTAAACGTTATCCGGCCCAACTTCCCGACTAGCGCCACCTGTCCGGTACTTTATTCGACCCCCAAAATGTACTTTTTCGAAGCCATAGGTAGAATTCAGGTACTCATCGTCCGTGACCCAAGTCCTCCACAGAGAATCATTAAAAGGCGTCACTTTGAACCCTCCCACGTTCACTCTATGCACAGTCTCAAACCCATTTATCAACAACCCATCAACCTTCTCATTCTTTCCAAAATCAACCAGCTGCGCCACGTCAGCAATCAGATCTCGCGGAGCAGAGATCACCTCAATGGCGTTCACAAATCCGATTTTTGATTTATCCGAGGGTACGAACGTAACTTTCAGCTCGTCGGCGGCGGCGGCGATCGGGATCGCGAACTCCTTAATCACGGGGAAATCGCCGCTTTGGGGGATACGATAATTGCGCAGCAGCAAAAATCCGTCGACCAGGACATGAAATTCAGACTCGTGCAAATTGTGGCAATCGTTTTCAATCGGGTAGAAGTGGAGGCGTACCAGGTGGTGGGTGGTCCCGCGGTCTCTGATGGGGAAAACGTAGTGCGCGGGCCGATCGAAGGCTCTGGCGGTGGCGTAGAGCTGGGACGAGGGTACATGAGCTGGATCCGAGCTCTCGATCATTATCGTCCGCGTGGAGGTGAGAAATCGGGAATCGTCGCGGGCGAAGGCCCGGTGATCGAAGTCCCGCGTAACGGGCACGCGTGAGCCGCAGTTGACTAGGTGGTTGTCCGTCGGGGAGAAGGCGGACGCGGAGGAGAGGAGGGAGATGAGGAGAGGGAGGGTCGAGAGGTAGAGAGTTTTCGTCGCCATGGCAGCGAGCTTCGATGGTTTTCTGAAAGTTTTCATTTTATTGTGGGTGATGTTTCTCAACGCTTATGAATTATGATTGGTTTGCCGTGTGACCGCGTTTTGTTTAACAACACACGCTTTTTACTGCTGGGGACAGGCTAGCACTAATTAAGGGAATTCGTGGTTAAGTAGACAGGTCAATTGGACTGTCCAGCGTTGGTTAAACCTTTAAACGACCTCATATCAAGTTCTAGCACAAATAATGACACATCTTATCTATTTTCTTAGAGAGTTTATATAATTATTCCTAAATATTATTTAGACGAAATTGTCTCTTCCGTTTTTATTTATATCTTTTTTATGGACGATTACACGCTATTAAAAATATGGCCTTTTTTTTTCTTTTCTTTTTTTTTTTTTTAAAAAAATTAAAATGGCACA